ATGGTGCTGGTTCTTCCTCCCCAGGTGCAGTACCTTGCACTTGTCAGTGTTGAATCCCATCCTATTCTCATCCTCCCACCCCTGTAACCTGTCTAGGTCTGATTGTAGCCTCTTCCTCCCTTCTAGTATGCCCGCTTCCCCCCACATCTTAGTGTCATCAGCAAATTTGAACAATACTTACCCCCTTGTCCAAGTCACTGTTGAAGGTGTTGAACAGTGCGGGCCCGAGGACTGAGCCCTGGGGGACCCCACTGCCCACATCCCGCCAGGTCGAAAATGACCCCCAGTCCCCCAGTTTCTTAATGAGAATGGGGTGAGAGACAGTGTCGAAGGCCTTCCAAAAGTCCAGGAAGACTACATCCACTGCTACCCCTGCATCTAAGGATTTGGTGATCTGGTCATAGAAGGCCACCAGATTGGGCTGACAGGACCTGCCACTAATGAACTCAATTTGTCATCTGGGCATGTATGTAAATAATTCAACCTCACATGCTTTAAAGCAAAGGCTAAAGGTGGAAAGTTTTGATTCTTGAGCTGTTGTTTGCCTATCATATTGCATTGATATCCCACAAAGAGTGACTTTCAGTCTCATCAGTTGCATTGCTCATGCCTACCAAGAGTGTGATCTTACAGTCAGCATCAAAAAGGCCAGGTGTTATGGGCCAGAACATTGATTCACTGCCAGCGATCACAATAGGTGAACACGTATTGGATGCAATTAAATGCCTTGTTATCAAGAATGTGTCACTTGAGGTTGAACTTGAATACGTACATTGGCACACCATCAGGTATCATGAGCATGCTAAGCAAGCAAGTGTGGAACAACAACAAACTGACTGTTAAGACCAAGGTCACAGTATATCATGCTTGTGTCGATGATCTTTTATACAGCAGTGAATGCCGACCAAGACATACTCTATTCAAGAAAAACTCTTCAACAGCTTTCATGTACATTCTTTACTGCATTTTAGGAATTTCCTGGTGGGACAAAGTTGCCTACGCTGAGGTCTTGGAATGTGCCAACATTCTGAGCATCCACTCTCCTCTTGGTCAATGTTGATTTCAGTGGCTTGGTCATATGCAGAGGATGGACAATGGCCATACACCCAAGGATCTTTTATGTGGAAAATCCAGCAGGCACTGTGTGCTGCATGGTCCTGGAGTGGCCAGAGCAGGCACCTGTTCTGGGCACTCTAAGGCACATGCTGGATCCAGCATGGAGTAGATGCATGCTGGAGTAGGCACTGTGCCCCACACAGATCTGGGGGGCACATGCCGCTCCATGCTTGCCTGAGAGTGCACACAGCAGTGGGAGCCACTCTTCTTCCCACCCTCCACCCCTGGCAAATGAACCACTTGCAGCTCTGTCCTGCACCCTGCCCTGGCTGGGCAGCACCTGTTGGTGCTCCTTTGGCGCCTGGGGCAGTCGCCTTGCTCGGCACCCCCTTGCTATGGTGCTGGCTGTATGCACTGCATTCCTGAGTGGCTGGTCTGGGACATGTGCTGCATGTGGCTCCCCCTCCAGCCACTCCAGGACACATGCTGGATCTGGCATGCGGAGGCTGGTTTGAGTCCAATGTAGCCTGCAGACTGGCTAGATGAATTTGACACTCCTATATTCCAAGTTACAAAGAAAAGAAACAGCAGGGCAAGTGAAGCGTACATGTTAATGGTTTTAAGAAGCAGCATTTGAAGTTTACCAAAGCCATAAAAACTTCCAGTCTTTACTGGTTTTATTCATTGCTAATTCAGTTAATATGGCAAACTTTTGGGTTTTTTAAAAAAAAAACAGCCCTAGTTTTAAATGATTGACCCTTATCTGTAAATTCAATTTAAATTCATATTTGAGACTAGCATATTGTAGCAATATGGTCATGCCTGTATCATTTTGAACTGACTCCAAACCTTAAATAATTCAGGACATGAAGGTCCCTTGTCATGCCATGTTTCATACTTATAACATGAGGCCCACAATTCTGTTCCCTATATCCTGCTGTATTTGGCTAGCAGCTCATTTCTTTGGGAATCCGAAGTGGAAGTGAACATTCACGCTAGTTTTTGCAAAGAGATCTAAAACCATCACTCATTATTTTAGTAGGGTTTTCCAAAAAGCTGAGTATTCCCTCTCTTGCACACAGCTTTTTCTCCAAATCATGGATGCTTACTGCCCTCTTCACCCAGCTTCCTTCTTCCTTGTCTACACTTAAAAAGGGACCTATCTACTAGGAGAGCATGTATGTTTGTTTCTCTTTCCTACCTAAGTTTAATTTTTCTCTTTGGAGTTGCACCTGAGGCTTTTTAGGTGTTATTTACATCATGAGGCTACAATCCACCGTAGTTATATGGCAGAAGAGTTCTTTCTGTTGACTTGGCTATGCCACTGTCCTAATGATGGATGATGTTGAATCATCAGCTGGGATCTTGTTCAGGATGCACTGGGTCTGTTTCTTCACACTTTTTGAAAAAACCTTTTAATGGCATTTGTAAAGCAAAATAAATATAAATAAATAAAAAACTTGGGTATGTTTCAAAGATGCTTAGTAAGTGCAATTCAAGTGAAAAATATATAATTATACACATTGTTAATGCATTAAAAAATTTGAATGGTCAGCTAAACTTTTATAGAAATATTTTTGTGTAAGCCTTGTGACCTTTAACATTTTTATTTCCCAAGTAATTCTCATTGTAACCTTAATGCTGTTTTAGAGTGTGGTTCATTTATAAAGATTTTAATGAAGCAGAGACAACAAAGACACTGTCTTTTCAGTATTTTCCCTTCTTGTGTATTACTAAAAAAGATAGCAAGCGGCCTTTCCTGAAAATTAAAAAAAACAAATAAAACAAGCATTTGACAAAATAGGCATTTCTGTTCCAAAGAAAAATACTTCAGAAAGGTTTATGAATATGAGAGAAAATGGAAACAATTTGTCATTTGAATGTCTATAATGTTAACCATTGAAAGCGTCTAGTCTTAAGCAATGTTTTTTGGCACATGTGCACATATTTACTTACTTAACTTCTTTTATTTTAAGGCCATGGAACATCCTTTAATATAGATTGTAATGTCTGTTCTTGTTTTGCTGGGAGCTTGATATGTTCCACTCGTCAGTGTCTAAATGAACATAGTTCAGACGACGAACGTCGCATATTTACAGGTAACTCTCTCCAAAATACAGAAGGGTTAATTTCATTATTCATTTGTGCTTTAAGGGCACATCACAAACAAGCGTGCACATGCAGACATTCACCATGCTACTAATTTGCATCACAGTGGGTTATTTTGACATTCAGAGATCCTGGTGTCAAAAAAACCTGTGCTAGAAAAAAGTGGGGTTGTGCACATGGTGGTAGCATATGCCACCAGAAACTGGAGCCTGGCTGTCCAGAGCCATGCTCTGGCTGCTGGCTAGGCTCCATGCACCCAGATTGCCACCTCTACAGCCCCAGGATCCGAGGTAAGGCTGCTGGGGCCAGCCCAGGTGCTGGCCTCTGTCTTCCCTGTCCCAGCTGGGGCAATTTGTCACGTGCCAGGGTGCATGTGCAGGGGTGTTCCCTGGGGATGAGTAGCTGTGGCACAACTATGTGCTGCTGCTGTTTGTCCCTGGGGAAATGCAGGTGTGCACTCGTCTGGATGTGCCCTAAAAGTAACATAAAAAAGACTAGTTCCTACTCTTTTTGCAGCTTGCTCAGAAACACACTTTTGCCTTATTTTTACTATATTTTTGTACTCGATGACAAAGATCATCAGCTGACTTGCTTACAATCAGATGATATACAATTTGCCCTGGACCTCTAAATCCCAATTACTGCTCCAACTCCTCAACACAGGGGCCTTCGTAATTTGAACATTTTCTACCAGTTAAAGTAAGCAAGCTATATTCCTAATCTGTATATTATATTTACAGGTCTGCCATGTAACTGTGCTGATCAGTTTGTTCCTGTATGTGGCCAAAATGGACGCACATACCCAAGTGCATGCATAGCTCGATGTGTTGGGCTTCAGGATTATCAATTTGAGTTTGGAACATGCATTTCCAAGGATCCTTGTAACCCTAACCCTTGTACCAAAAATCAGAGGTAAAACATTTAATTTACAAGCTCCTCTTTGGAATTTTCAATTAATAAATGAGGTTATGCTTGCTTCTGTGGTAACTATCTCATATAATGATAACAGCATTTCATTCCTGGCTAGACTATAAGTAATAGTGTGGGAATGTATGAGACATTAAATTTACAAAAGGAATACATAGTTAGAATCAGAATGGCACTTGATGGCTTATGGGATTCAAAATAAATGTTGGACATTCACCTCTTTGTTTAAAACACAATGTGATATCTGTACCTTTTAGTTTTTAGAGAAAGTGAGAGAGTCAGGACATTTGTATGCAGTTACAGTTCTACCACTTTTTCCTTGAATAATTTCTGTGTTTCTTTATTTGTAAAGTAAGACCACTGACAGATGTTCATTTAAAGCAGGGACAGGCGAAGTCCAGCCTGCATACCAGATCAGGCCTGCAGCAGACTCTGTTTCTCAGCAGCCCCTCCCCACATCACTGTGACTGGTTTCCATGGAGACCCTAAGAGCTACAGGGCTGTGACAGCCCGGGGCCAGGATTTCCATGGAGACTGGCCCGAGCAGCACTGGCAGCGGGGTATGGCTGGGCGGGGAGCTGCTCCAGGGTTGACAGCATAGAGTTGCATGCAGGGGTGCCTGTGGAAATAGGAAAGGATGAGTTAATCAATATTCAATAGACAAGCCAGGGCAGGCAGCACTCTGATGTGTGCTAAATGGACAGTCTGATGGAAAATGGTCTCATGCTCCAAGTAATTGCTGGTCTAAGGAATACTATTGCTAAAATTGTAATAGAAAAGGACATATCCCCAGAGTATGCCATGCTAAGAGCAATAAAGAAGAGCGTTCAGTAAGAGATACGAAAGGGATAACGAAGGGATATACAAGGTATATTTAATAGATAGGGACAGTAGTGATACAGGTAGTAACAATGGAGTCTGGGACTATCTCATATAAACAGGAGTGAAAAATCAGCCATCTGGCTGATGCCCTGGGTTGCTTGGAAAAGCCCTTAAAATGGATAGATAGAGGCTGTACGGTGTCTGGTATCTCGCATTCTGAAAATAAAAAAACATTAAGTGTGGAATTAAGGAGACCCCCCAGTGTTGTTAAAAATGCATGGGAGAGAAAATTGTGTCAAAGGAAGTAATGTTAGTCCCTGTAGAATATAATGATAAGCAGTGCCTCTTAGACATATACATAGGAACCTACCAAAATCACGGTGGAAGTACACTGCACGGTGGCTCCCTTAGTTTCTCCTGTGTGCCCCCTGCTGTTGATTTGGTGGAGGGGCCCCGCTGCCTCCCCACTTCTGATCTGTGGGGAGGCAAAAACCACCATTTAAAATACGCTGTAGTTTTTGCCTCCTGGCGGATCAGCAACAAGCAGCAGGGCTACAGGGACCCTTTGGCCAATCAGCAGCAGGAGGCAAAAACTGCACCATATTTAACACTGGTTTTTACCTCCCCACGAATCAGGAGTGAACGGCAGGGGAAAGTGGGGAATGCATTGGGAAAACTACAAAATTAAAGGAGCCACTGTGTAGTGTATTTCTGCCACAATTTTGGGAGGTCCGTATATATATATGACATTGCAAAAGGGGGACCTGGTGTCTGGGGTTGGGAATGGTTAAAAGAGTTTCCTCTGAAATTGTGTTAAGATGCTGTAGACCCTTTCAAAGGATCCTGCAGAAACCAACACGAATTATACGGGATATTGAACCTGGTTTCTGAAGTGTTCAAAAAAGGCATAGGAACCTTACAACACATTAAAACTAAGATAATGATAGATAAAAGTGCTCAGGCCAAGTTTAAAAAAAATGGCCAGTTCCTTATAGCCTGTGGGCCAAGGTAGGTACAGAATTGGGTCCTTTTAAAGAGAAGGCATACTTTCAAAAGTATCCTGGACTGAGTGGGTCAAGCCTATAGTAGTCAAGTGGGTGGGGGGAGTGGTGCGGTAAGGGTATTTGGAAACTATAACTATAAGGTTACTATAAACCCTGCTCTGAAGGTTGATAAATATTCTCAAATTGAAGGTTTGTTTTTTTTTGCCATATTAGTAGGGGGCAGAGATTTAACAAAACCAATTTAGTGCAAGTTTACTGACAGATAGAAGTAGAAGAAGATTCAAAGGGGTGTCATACCATACATAAAAATCATGGTGGTGATATCCATAATATACAAAAAGGGTTAATCATAGACTCTTCTGCTGTGGGGGAAAGGAGCATCATGGGTGCTGCTTGGCTCAGCTTCTCTTGGATATGTTTGTAATGACATACATAAGGAGCCTCCTGATGTGTGTCTCCACTCTTTCCATTTTATGCCTACCTCTGTCGGGCTTATCCCACCAGACATCAGGGCAGCAGTAGCAAATAAAATAGAATGAGCTTCACAGACCAAAAACAAGAGGCACCCACTGCATTGCCACATTGTGGCTCCTAGTAGTCTAAAATCGTGGGAATATTTCTTTTTTACAATACAACTACTGGATGAAATACCAACAGCCAGATGAACAAAGATGTGGCAGTCACAACGAGAGATGACCTAGGCAGGAGTTAGGAAAAATAACAAAACTGCCAAACATCTTCCTGTAGGCACAGAGACTGATTGGCCAACATGAAGAAGCTTGCACTGCCTCTGGAAAAGGGTTGGCAAGACTAAAGTTAACATGCAACTGTGAGGATACTCTTAACATTGCAATCACCATGTGTGACAGTGGAGGAAACTTTCAGACTATGGAACACGTACTGGTCTGCCCATGGATGGAGGAACCATTTGCTACCAAGGACTTCACTAAGGCTACAGATCAAGCAATAGCTTCTGCCCATTTTTGGACTCAAATTTGAACACGGGGACAAGATACAAGAAGAAGATCTCACTGCCTGGGTGCTGGATGGCTCTTGCAAAGTGAGAGTTCAACCCAGGTCAGATTCTCATTCAAAGCAAAAAATGCTCTACCAGTGGTACTTACTTGGCAAAATGGACAAATTTTTTTCATCCTTGTGCAGGGAAAGGAATATTGACCTTGTTAAGTCTCCCATTCCAGAGATCCTAGGTTATAATGATTTGTCCCTCTGCTCAGGTATGGTCCATTTGGCAGTAGTCTCAGCCTCCAACCCACCAATCAAGGGATGACATGCGTTCTCTCACCCAACACTCTTTGTGACTTGAATCTAGTTCTCACAGTCCTGATAAGAGCACCACTTGAATGCATGTTAATGAACTCTTTCCTGCACCTTTCCTTAAAAATGGTGTTCTTGCTAGCAATCACATTGGCAAGTTGAGTGGGTGAGATCCAGGTAGTCAGGACAGATCTTGCCTGTGTTGTCTTCTGTTGAGGAAAAAATAATTCTGAGTCCTCAGGCCTAGTTCTTAATGGACCTTCACTGCATTTCTTGGATGTGAAGGGGACACTGGCCCATTACCAGAACAAAGCCATTAAAATATATATATATTCCCTTCAGCTGTTTGTATTCATACCTGAGAGATCCCAAGCACAGTGATGTCAGACAAGAGATTATCTAAATGGATCTCAGCCTGTATGAAATTTGTTATGAGATTGCTAAGGTGGACCCTTTATTGGTAATAAGGGCACATTTATATCTGAGGCCATGCTACTCCCATAGCATGTCTGGATGGTGTTGCCATATCTGATATCTGCAGGACTGCTACCTAGAGCTCTGTTCGTGCCTTTACGAAGTGTTATACTATTGGAAGCTTCTGTGGCAGGTGCCATACTTGGTAGATGGTTATTCAGTTGCTGTTTGCCGTAGGGAGTGTGGTGCCCACTTCAGGTATGTTGGGTCTGTTTTGCCATCGCCCACCAGTGAGAATGACTAACTATCCACACACAGACAAAGGAGAAAGCAAAAGTTCCGTATCAGTAACTGGAGATCTCTGAGATATGTTGTTCTCACACAGTTTGAATTCTGCTATCCATCCATTCTTCCTTGGAATGATAAATAATAGAAGACCCTGTTGTTGAGAGAAAACTGAGGAGGAGGAAGTGTACCTCTCCCTTTATCCCAAAGGTGGGCAAAATACGGCCGGCAGGCCGGATCCAGCCCACAGCAGGTCTTTATCCAGACTGCAGCGGGTCTCTCGGTCCCACTTGGCCCAAGCACTGTCCAGCTGTGGTCTGTCCTGCCGCCCCCAGGGCACATGGCAGGGTTGGGGTGGCTCCATAGCTGGACTGCCTTCTTCTGGCTGCCACTGCTGCTGGCCCCACCCACATGGTACTGGCAGGGACCCACACTGTACAGCCCTGACCCTGCACGCCCCATGCCTGTTTCAGGCTTGCCCACCCAGACTCAGCAGCAGCAACGTGGGACAGAAGCTGCTGCTCAATGTCGGGTAAAAGCAGCCCGTTCCCCTCACCATTCCAGCACTTCTTGGTGTAGCCATCTGGAGCCCATGCCAGGCTGGGCTGCCCTGCATCTGCTGTGTGCTGTTACTACTGCCCCACCGGGCATCCCAGAGGCAGTGGTGATGGCAGCAGAGACACAGGACAACCTGGCACAGGCTCCAGGTGGCTGTGCAAGGAAGCACTGGGTGGGAGAGAGGCCACTTTTACCCAGTGCTGATCAGCAGCTTCTGTCCTGTGCTGCCACTGCTGAGCCTGGGTGGGCGAGCCCAGAGCAGGCTCAGGGTGCGTGGGGTTGGGCCTGTGCAGTGCAGGTCCCTGCCAGTACCATGGAGCTGGGGCTGGCAGCGGTGGCAACTGGAAGGAGCTGCCACCTCCTAAGCTGCCTAGAAAGGCAGTTCCATTGCAGAGCTGCCCCAGCCCCTCTGCATGCCCAGGGAGTGGCAGGATGTGCCACGGGCAGGTGGTGCATAGTGGGCCAGGTCCAGGCTGTGTCCGGGTTCTAGTTGGTCCACTCCGATGGGGGTGAGTCTGGAGCAGGCATGGGGCACATTGAGGCTGCATGCTGTTGGTAGTAGTGGGGAGGTGCTCCAGGTCACACAGGCTCTGGGCTGTTGCAGGGTGGGGGTGGGGGCTGAACAGGTCAGGGGGGCGTGTGAGGGAAACTCCCATGCACGCCCCATCATACCCGCAAACTCCACAATCACACCCTCCCCTACATGCAATCACACCCCCCACAAACACCATACCCACCCATACCTTCGCCCATACACACAACCACGTACCTCCGGGGGGAGCACTGCACTGGTATACTTGCACACTGCACCACACACACATGCACCCATGCCCCCCACACATACCTCCTATGGACACCCCCAGCCCCCACAAAT